AAATTAACTTTTGTTACTAATAAAAATCTTTCAAATGCGACTGTAGCTTTTTTTTCCCAAAACTTTATCTTCAAAATAAGGGTGCGTCTTATATTTCGAAAAATACGGTACTTTAAAATTTCTAAAAATATGCTAAGTCTATAATTACAAAGCTCAGTTAATATATTTTAGCACACATCTCATTGCATTAGTCCATTGTGTCTGAAAAGATCCCTTTGTTTATGATATGCTTAATGTTGAGAAAATTACCTCAAGAGTGTTGCAATATATTGCAGAATGGTAACTTTACATAGTAATTGTTGAGATGGAAGGTAATATTTATATTATGATCCACAAGCATAAACTTCTTTAGACTTGTTACTTTTGAATGCTTCTAGAATGTCAGTTTCTGTTATGTAGAGTTTAAATGACCCAGTAACTCAAACACTTTCAAATAGTTGACTATTCTTGTTCTGCCAGCAATAAACCCTAGGAGCCATGATAGTAGTTTTAACCTAGTGAGGAGCAAGGGAGATCATCCCCTTGCCCCAAGAAAATTTGACATAGTTTTCAATTATGTTCAAACTATGCATTTTATACATAAAGTACATTTGCAGACAAAATATTTTGAAGGTGAACCAGTCATGCAATCTTTTCTTTGCAATGTAGAATTATGTAAAGCCCATTGAAAATTTCAGCACCAGCCACATTTCTGCAACCAAGAACCAATTTGCAAATACTTGTGTTTGTTGGATAGCAGTCAAACATTGAATATGTAAAAGTCTTTCGTTATGGAATTCCTTTAGGATATAGCACTGTTTATTGGAAATCCAAATGCTATACCAATCTTTTCTGTGATGTATAATTATATCACTAATATTAACAAATGCACCAAAAAAAGATTTTTATTATGGCACATTTTTAAGATGCCAGGTCACTTTCTTTAGGTGATGTGGTGACCGGCAATCCTTTGTTATGATATGCCCCTAGGTCAAGTAACTGGGCAAAATTCAAGGCTTGCATTATTCAAAAAGTTTTTTGTTTCTTTTTCTAATTGGGATCATGGTTATTTTCAGTAATATAACAATATACAGAATAAAACTTTATAAAGGTTCATGAATCATGAACAACACCTCAAATTATACTGTGTTTGTTTTATCACATCTAGTCTGATGATCTCTGTATTGTGCAAAACATGCTGTCAACAGTGGCTATAGAAAACAGTGTGGTTGGAAATACTATTATACACTCATTATTGAAAAACCTAAAGGGACTGAATAAGAAATGTAATGAATGTAATATTCCTAATACTAATGTCTTATGACACACCCTACAATAATTATAGTTCCATGTAGATTATGGATATTCCTGTGTTGTTAACCAGTGTGACAAGTTTAAGTAGTTTTCCAATAATGTCAAATTTTTATATATTTATTTAGTTAACATTTTCAACCATGAGAACATACTTGGAGAAAACACGATGATGATTTTTTTATTATTATTAGAAATACCATTATCACATTATTAATGCAGCTTGCACGATGTTTTCAACAAAATTAGAAATCCTGCTTCCACCATTTTTACAAAGCCTGCCTGCTAGAAATCTGATATCTCATTACTCATGTAGCCTGCCTACTCTTCTCAATAAGACTAGAAATCTGGTATCTCATTACTCGTGCAACCTGCCAACTCTTCTCACTAAGGATAGAAACATGGTATCTCATTACTCAATGTAGCCTGCCTGTTTTCCCCACTAAAACTGGAAATCCTATTATCCTACTATTCATATTTTCTTGCTAGTTGTTCTTACAAAGATTAAGAATACTGTTACAACTGTTCACATTACCTGCCTGCTTTTTCACTAAGTCAATCTGCTTCTTCAAATGCTACTGTGTGTTTGATTTGGACATGTTATTTATCATTTATGTATCTCTGAATAATTATTCGGAGCATAAAATCATGAAAAATTCCAGGTTTTTGTGAAAATACATATGTTTTGGACCAGAGGCATCACTAGGTACTGGTACACAGCCTGATTCTATTTGACAGCGCCTCAAATGCTCAGTTGATGTCTCGCAAAATCAGAATAGAAAACAATGATCAATATCATACTAAAATGCCAAAAATTCCCATGCCTATGGGCCTGAGCCCCAAATCTTTTCAATACTTAGTGATGATTCTGTTTTGGACCATTATAAAGAGCATAATAATAATGTGTAAGATAGAAGTCAACAGGTGAACCATTATGATCTGAGCATGGACTGTCAGTACATTTCAAATGGACCTCCAAATTCGATGCAGTTTGTTCTGGTTTTTTAATTGCATTCATATCAAGAATATAAGATTGACACAGAATGAAAAGTACTGTTCTGAAAGTTGGTTGATAAATGTACAGTTACACAGCACACTAAGTTAAAAACTCTGAAACCCTAGCATCTCTTACATTAAAAAAAGTTTTGAAAGTTGTTAATAATTTATTTATTTATTTGTTTGTGGGACATGGGTGGATGCAAAATGGTAAAAGGTGTTTCCCTTGGACTTTTATCTCGATGGAAGCAAAAAATTACTAACTATACTTGGTGTATGATCTTATGTATTTATAAAACTATATGCATTTATTAAATAGTATAAACTAATTCATTAAATCTTAAAGAAATATATGTGATACTGTCTAGATATGATATTAGTTTATTTAGAGATACATGTGAGTAATGCATTTGTACTGTGTAATTTGATGATGTAATAACTACTTTCATCCAACTGTATTTTATTCGATCCCATTACTATAATTTATTCTTAGCATTCAGTGGCATCAATAAAAGAAAAAGCATTATGAGAAACATCATAAACCTCATTTCATTGCAAATTCCATAAAATATAATTAGTTCTTTTCTAATCCAGTAGATACCAAACAATATTGCACAGAGAAAGAACTGCAACTTCTTTTATTAATTTGTTTTGTAAATAAAATGGTGAGGAATTGTTTTGATTTTAATGTTCGTAGTATACACTGGAGTTTTAATATCATTTTGTTTAAAAGAGATTACCATTAATTTAGGAAATTATGTTGATCATTTTTACTGTTTTTTGTTCATTAATCCAGGGCATCATCTTATGCAGGCAGTTTGTAACAGTTTAGTCCTAAGACTTAATGTACTAAATTCAAAATAATTACAAACAAGATGAAGTTGAACTAGTATGCAGATTGAGATTGGAGTAAAATGTCGTTCTTGAGCCAATATCTTTTTTCATCTAACAGTGCAGCATTAGCTTAAATTACAATCCTTGGTTATTCATTTTGAAATCTTTGAAATGGAGGATCATGTTGATGAGAAGAATTTTAGTCATGACACTTTTTAGCAGTTGTATATCAGATGGTTGGTTTTTTTTTTATGTTTATTAGTAAAAACATTTTTTATCGTGTAGTTTGATTGATACACTTTGATAAAATAAACTAAATACTAATAAACTTTACAGACACCCCAGAACTTAAAGAAGGCTATAGAAAGTCTAGTGTTAGATGGCTGTTTAATAGAAGACTTGAACATAGACTTCACCCTTCCTGGCTATCCTCACATTGAACTGAGAAAAGGTGGACGAGATATTGCTTTAACAATCCACAATTTAGAAGAATATTTGCAAGTAAGTATTGAAGCCATCATCCACTGCTTTATTCTGGGTTGGAAACAAACTTGGAAGGTATGGAAGATAGTTAATGTCAATAGAAAAAAGAAACTAGTTTTTATAATATGATTTTAGGTTTAACTTAGTGTTTACTATAAACTTAAAGCTGTCGTTTGAGTGACACAAGTACTCTTTTCCCCCTTTTACTTTTGTAACGTTATTTCACTTAAACTTTGTAGATTATTACAAATCTGGAAACTTAGAAATAAATTGATGTAAAAACTAATAACTGCCTATGAATATGGAGCTGTAACCTTGAAAATAAAAGACCCTTGACGTATTATAACAAACATTGCATTTGATGTAATGCTCTACACTTATTTTTCTTCTGTAATTGGATGTTGATAGATATGTATTAGACATAAAATAGAAGGAACAAGTTGGTGGTTCTATAGTTTTTTACAATATTCTTGCTTTTCATTAAATCTATATTCCAGTTTTTTGAAAATCCAGTAATAGAAACAACACCTAAAAACACAGCTGAATTCGGTTGGAAAACAAATATATATATATATATTATAGAAACAACACTATTTAGAATAATATTAAAGGATGTATATAAACAATTCCACCTTTACAATGTTTGTGGGGTTCAAAATCATATCCGAAGTCATTATTGCAGGTGCATTATCTATACTGCATTACAATAACAGATTATGTGCTAATATTTTGTCAGTTAACTTTTGTAGGGTCTGGTAATGCTTTGATTAAAGCAGACATTTTCCTGCCCTTTGTGCTTTTCATTTTTAATACAAAAACTGAATTCCTACTACATAGAGATGATTACACTTTAAATTTTAGTCAACCTAAAGAAATGTAGTATAAAATAGTCACCTGTGAGATGAAGTTCATTTAAAATATGAAGCAGATGAGTAAATAAATGGCATTTTAATTTTATCCATGTCATCAGTTACTGGTGGCTTCCCTTTATATCATAGGTCTAACAAACAGATGTAACTGTTGATGAAGAGGTAAACCTGAAGCCTTAGAAAATATATATAAATGTGTATATATGTGTGTGTGATTTTATTTTTCTCTCAGCTGGAGGAAATGTTAGTGTATTTACAAAATGCTCTAATTTATACCACCTACTTTGAAAATAGAAAATAATAATGGATCAGTTGTCTTAAAGTATTTTTTTTTCTTTTCTTTTCAAAATTACCTTTTTCAAAATAACACCTTATAAAAAGTTTGAAAGCATCAGCATATTGAGCTTTAATGTTGCATTAATTAACCCCATAGAATATAGCATACAATATTTTTGAGTAGCTTATTGAAAGGAAACACTTTCTGAATTTTAACATGGCAAATAGTCATTATGATTTGGATATTAGTTACATATGTTGAGAGTATTGATTGAATAAATTTATCTTTATGATTGTGTAGTTGGTGAGTCACTGGACACTATATGAAGGAGTCAAGAGGCAGATGGAAGCCTTTAAAGAAGGGTTTGAGTCTGTTTTTCCTATTGCACAACTGCAAATATTCTTTCCTGAAGAGGTAAAAAAAATTTCATAACTTTCCATTTGATTATTTGGAAAAAGACAAAAATATTTCTTTCCTTGTGGAAGGCTTAATAGAGTATTTGTTATAATAGATGGTATTTAAAGGAAAAGTTTATACATTATGAAGCTCCATGCTAACAACATGTCAATTTTCTCAAAATACCTGACAAGGTTTATAGGTGCAACCTTTTAAAACTTTTAAGGATAGTGTCTAAAACATATAGGTGCTTATTACATAGCTCTCCTAAATTGATTTGAGGGTGATAATTGTAATAGAAACAAAGTTGGAGGCACAATAATTCTTACATTTGTTTATATGTAAACATATTTTTCCAGAAACATTTGAACACTGTGGTTTCATGTATTACATTTTACTTTTCATAAAATTTTAAAACTATTGTGTAATCCACTGTTACAACCATGTATTTATAAAGGTTCATTGTATTGTGCATTTGTGTGTTTTTGTTTAATCATATTTTTGAAATTGCTATAGAGACTAAATTTAACATTCCAGATTTTCTTTAGTATGAATAATATATCTAATTTGTAATATTTAATTATGCCACACTAAGGAATGTATTAACTTTTTCAGCATGGGCTCGGTTCCTGGGACCAATCTTGTAACCATTTTGTGCTTGTTATAGTTTTCATGCTATAAGTTTTAAATTAGTAACCGTATGTTAACGAAATTTGGCAGATTATCAGTAAACAATTATAATGCTTTCATACACAAAATATAAATTTTTTTTATTAAATCTTAAGGTTTGTAAAGCAATGTTTTTCTCATGCCTTTTTTTTCTTTTCACGTGTTGCCTATCCAACATGCAAAGTATTTTTCACTTCAAGATTAAAAATACTTTTGTGCATCAGAAAATTTTCAAATTTCACATGCAAAATCTATATAATGTCCAGATAGTTACCAAACGTTTCTTATGAAAAAACTATATTTTATCTGTTATTTTCAATAATGAATCTCTGTACGGGTTTGGTCGATTTGACCAATCTCGTAACCACATTAAAAAAATTAGGAAATGAATATAAATTATGCTTTTTTCATTCTAGAATGATAACAAATGATAACATAAATATTTAGACTAAATAGTTTAAGTATTTATATTTTTATTATATTTACCTTTCAGCCATACCTGGCTAACAATACAGAAGTTACAATGATGCAGCAACATGTGGACCCATGTTATCATATCCAATAATATAAAAACTGACCTATCTTGGCTGTGTTTTAGTAGACTAGTATTTTGTAAAATACAGTCACATTTCCATTATCACACATTATATATGTATATAGATTATTACTATTTAGCAATAAGTTCTTAAACTTATTTTCCTTAAAACATAGAACAGTAAATAAAGAAGTAAAGCAAACAATTATCTCTTCTAGTTATGACCTTTGTACTTGGTTGCTACTTGAAGTAGGGTACTAAGTATTTAAAAAGTTTGCACATGGAGGACATTAAACGAAATAATTTTTTTTGTTTTATACATATATATACAGTTGAATAAACAAAAAATCATAAATTACTGTATCAGTACCTTAGAATTTCACTATAATTTATAAGCTTTGTAACTAAGCTGTATTTCAGTCTAGAAAAATATGAAATTTTGAGCAGACTAAAGACACAGCCTACCTCCTTGAAATCTTGGTTCAAAAGAAAGAGGATTGCATCCAAACACATTAAAATGGTTGAGAAAGCCACTAGGGGGACATTCTAAGCTTTCAGTTGGTTATTCATGTCATATATCGAAGTGTCTATAAAGGAGCATTTCCAAAAATGGAATAAGGTGGGCTGGGGGCCACTGTGTTAGATTTATTACATGAGCAATATCTTGGCAAATTGAAAAGATAATAGGCTCTTATTTTATATTCTAACTTGTCAATATTGGTAATTTGATTTCTTAATTCATACGAAACTATAGACTTAGTATTTTGACATAACAAACATTTAAATTGAACCAGTGCTGCATTCAACATACCACGTGACACTCAAAAATCGAAGTTTAACTGTGTTTTTTAATATTTACTTTTAAATTAAGAAATTGATTAAGGTATAATACTAAAATTTAAATTCTAATCTATAGTT